TTTTTTTATCAACACAGCTCTTTCGCGAACCAGTAGTTTATCTTCTTCGCGTAGTTGTTACTTCATTGCATTTGAAAAAATGTTTAGTTGAATGAGTTAACAAACAGTATATCAGCTTATTATTATGATATTCTCGAGTATGGATCTAATGCGACAAATTGAGATTATATTTTTTTGGAACATACAAGATTATTTGAACTGTTTAGTGACAGTCGCAGCAAGTTTACGCGCATGTCTTCCCTGCTCCTAACCCTCAAATCTACAATAAACACAATCTGACAGAAACACGAGTAAGGCACGATGCATTTGACCCAAACTTAATCAGGACTCATGGATAATCGAATAAACACAAGAAGTACTTCTATTGCTACTAGCTTCACCCGTTAAGCAGATAGCTGCTACTGCCAGATACGACTATTCCTCTGGGATCGTTGAAACATGCTTTGTTCGTTCATAAAGCTCTCGGTCAGTTGGCTTGATAAGACCAAATTTCTCAGCAGCAGCGAGCGCTCTTTTCGCCTAAATTCTGTTATTCTCATCTTAGGAAGACACTCATCAAATGAGTCACCTGTTCTGTGGCGCCTTTTCTCGCCTCGTTCTTCTCTCCAAGTTTTGTTATGGCCACGAGAACACGGAAAATCTCGGACTGCACAGTGAGATTAATAAATGTAAAATTTAAGATTTTGTAGAAAACTAACCGCGACAATTTCCGCACAAAGTTTCTCATCACTTTCCATTATATTTGCGATGCCCATAAGACCTCGCCTTTGAGACTGAAAGATCAGATGTGGAAGGAACTGGTTGTCTGAGTCGAAGGTGACCAAATTACTTCAGGGTCTTCACGCATAGCGATCTCCTTGAAAATATCAGGCCATGACTTGATTTCATCCAAAATCCTACGATTCGCGTCCACATCTTCTGTTAGAATGGCAAAAGCAGCTGTAGCACAACGCGAAAGACGTTCGCTCTCCTCTGCTGCATAAAGGACCCAAAGCTTTAGTTTGTCGGTACCTTTCTGGAAAAATAAAATATTAAGACTTCTAGGGCTGTAATCTCTAAAATCATCTATAATTGAAATGTAGCCGATCAATGCGAACTGCATCAGGAGATTGGCAGGTTGAGAAAGGAAATGGGATAATCGGAAAACCAACCCATATATTACGGAATGCTACGATAAGGGCAAATAACAAACCCTGACAGTATCCTTGAAAAATTCGTCCAGAAAGAGCATGTTAAGAAGCAGCTCCGCTGCAGCTGCGCGAAGATGCTCGTGTTCAGTCATGAACCAGAATTCTTCGATCTTTGGCACTGCTCTCTCCTTCAAGATACGGCGCCGAACAGAATCGCTCATACTTGCCTATATCACAAATAGAGAGTTTCACTTTAGAGATAACATTTTCGTAAAGTATTATACCAAGTTAGTGAGAGTAAGCAGCGCATCATAATTTGCTTTGCCTTCAATGTCGGGATGAAGCAGTTCGCAAAGTGGTTTAACGACCTGAA